ACTCGGTATCTAAGAGAAACTTGAAGAATTGCCTCGACTAACTGTTAGAGGTAGAGGTGACGCATGCCTCAAACCAGTATGACTTCTCTGATGAGCATCAATACGAGTTATCTTATCAGGGCACGCAAAAGGTTCATACTGACCGGAAGCCGCCCTAGATCTATCTCAATCTACCCTATCTCTATCAAGAGCAGAAGCCTCAACTTCTTCAGCATCTATTGCTCTCTTTACTAAAACATTGAACACCTCATCTCGATGAGTAACCACTTATCGACATAGCTTGTATATGAGTCCCTGAGCAAACTTTCATCATCTATCCCTCTCGGTAGGTACCAAACTGGAGCCATATTTCAGCAACTTCAGAAAATCTATCTCATACTCAGACACTGTCATATCTCCCTGAACCAGATCTTGGAACTGTTGTCGTCTCTGAGCCAAGTAACGCTCTCCTAGAAAGCGACTCCCAAAATGCTCCATAAAGAAATCCCAAGTTAAGCGATCAGCCGGAGCATTGCTCACAACAGACTCCCACCAGGTGTGGGCATTCCCATCTAACATAGAAACATCTCATAAATAACGTCGCTGCGATTTTAAACCTAGCTAATCCATACGTCGCTCAGTATCACAGAGCCAATCGTCAACCTCATTTAGAGCTCCGCTAGTAGGGCCCCAAAGGTCCTAACTTCATGAGCAATTAGAGTCTGAGAGATAGGAACTTCGGGTGTAACGCGAACCGCTCTCTGAATCAAATGAAGGAATTGTCTACCAAGATTATCATCTAATACAACCCTAGCCGACTCAGTCTTAGACACGGTCGCTCCTCACACCGGAGTAGTCAAACTTATGCCAGGGGCAGAGGGCAGATCCATCAGGGTTGTAGGAGTAAAATTATCTATCGGGGGCCGGGGATCTAGACGTATCTCGTCTATGAGGTCTGCAAATCTATTCGCTCGACCTCGCCCACGACCAGGTCAACGACTACGTCTAGCACTCATCTTGGTGGATCTCGAGGTTCACTATAGAAGGATAAAACATGAGATTATATTGACACTTGAAGTCCGTACATAGTTAAACTAGTACAAACTTGGTGACATTGCATTCGTGACTTATTTTATAAAACATTTTAAAATCGTAATTTTAGTTTGAACCCATCCACAATCTAAGATTTTAAAAACTAAAAGCTCTGATACCAACTAAATGTAACCCCCTAAACCCGGCTTATACTTTACGACTAGATCTAGCAGATTATAATTAAAAAATTTGAAACTTTTTTCAATAATTTAAAATCATATTTTCGAATAAACATTCCTAAAAATAGAGTTACTTATATTAAAAATTCAATATCAGTAAATTAAAGTTGTCGTAAGGGCTGAGTAAAATAAAATATTTCGTAATCAATTTCGAAGTAAATATAACATCAGTATCAAAAGTGATATAAGTCGTAAACAAATATTTCCAAAATATAAGCACATGTCACCCAAAACAAATGCAGCTCGAAAGATAATAACATTACAAAAAAAGGGTATTGTACGAATGTGTCGATCCTCCAAGTGCCAGGTCCGGGTCGCCTATCAAAAAGTATCTGAAAGGAAAAGTTTGGTGGAGTGAACTAGGGAGCTCAATGTGTTCCAACAGTGCATAAATAAAACATATAGTTGAGTTTCCAAAATCAGTTTAGTTTCAAATTGTTAAAACATCAGTAGCATTTTTTAGTTTAAAATACAATATCGTCCTCCAACTGAACACCATATATAGTTTCCCAAAACTGCATCCATAAGGACTTACCCTAGACCCAAAGGACGTAGGTGCTAACCTAAGGGAGCACATTGGGTCCATAAGGTATTACCCTAGCCGAAGCATAGGTGCCCTCAAGCCCATAAGGACTATAACAGAGGTGTCACCCTAAGGGAGTACCTTAGGGTCCATAAGGTCTTACCACTAGGCCTATTGGGCTCAGGAGCCCACTCAAGGGTTTCCTTAGGTCCATAAGGAATTATCAGCTCGATCGGTCTGAACCTATATAAGGAATTACCAGTTTGACCGAAGATGAACCTGTAGAGACTTCATGCTAGATCCCAGAGTACCCCGAAGAAAAACATTTTTAGACAGTAACCAGTAGTAGCAGGAAATTAAAGTTCAGACATATTTATCAGTAAAAATAATAACCAGAGAACATGTGTCAAGCAAGCATGATTTAAAATATAGTAAATCATGAATTATACCTAAATTAGATAAATCATATGGTAGTCAAATCAGATAAACCTATTCATTTCAAATTAAAGAAAATAATAATGTGCACATGGTATTTCAAACAAATATTTAAAATAGTTATATGGCACACAAGGAATACCTCGTAAAAAGAATCAGTCTAGGAGAACTATCGAACATCGACTTTACTACGCTCTTCTGTTGTACGTGAACCTAGGTTATATCATAACAGTGTTATACTAGGAGTAATATATTAAACTGAGTATTTATCAGGGTTACAGAACTATACGAGTAATCACGAGCTCGCGCTGATGGACAGATCGGGAGGAATCTGGTCGAGCAAATGAACGGTCAGGAGAATCGCGAGTACCTTAAATAAATGATAACATAAATTAGTCTATGACCCTTTAATTTAATTAGATGCACTAAAATAAATACTTAAATTAAGCATGCATGTTTGGATTTAACGGTCAATTTTGAGGCTTTTGGGTTTGAATTTGGTAAAACAGACTTCAAATTCGAACTTAGGATGTCAAATAACATAAAATATGACTTTTCAAAAAAATTTGACTTTTCAGTCAACAGTCAAAGTCAACGGTTCGGGTCAAGGTCAACGGATTAGACCGATTCAGGTTGACTCAGTTCGGTTCGAGTTGACTCGATTGGGTCAAACAGACTAGGTTCAGACCAGTTTGGGCCAGTTCGATCAACCTGGACTATTTTCTAGAAGGTTTTTTGGGCGATAACGAGCCTCACGCGCACGCGGCGACCCATGGCGACGGTGACGAGGTCGGGGTCGACGATCGAACACTCTGGTAGCTTTCACTTACCATACTCCATTAATTACAAACGAAAAAACCAATCAAAATCCATTCAAACCGAGAAAATTAATCGAAAATATAAACTGAACTTACCCACGTCAGCGACGAGGAAAATGGCAGCGACGACCCATCAGTCAGGTTTTGAGTAGACAGAGGTGGGGAATGTGGAAGTGGCAGCGGTGAGGCAATACAACGTCGGATTTGGCCGGAAATCACGAATAACCGAGTGGGGGTAGGGTCTTTTCTGTCAAAGCTTCAATCATTCGATTTCGAAGAACAACGTGACCATTCGACGAAGGGATATGGTGTTTTGGTCGCGGGAGGTTGTCGGTCACGCTAGTGGTGACTGTACACATTGACGAAGGTCGGAACGGGAGGATCGAGAGAGGTCGATGGGGTACAGTTAGGGGGTTAGGTATTTCATGCATAGGGTTTTTGGTTTTGGTTTTTGGGTATGGAACTCGGGCCAAAATTATAATAAAACCTATATTTTATTAGTTAAATCATGAACAAAAGCCTAGTTTAGTGGCTAGGGCATAGGTGCTCATGACCTTAGAGCAATGTTTTTAAAACTGGACAGGACCTTGAACCGGTGAAGGAACTGATTCACTGGTTCAACCGCGGTTCAACCGGATTTTATATAAAATAATATTTTTTTAAGTTTTACATAATATTCAAAACAATATTAATATATCTATATATCATTTTTTTAAGTTTATAATATTAAAAGGTATAAAAATATCACAAGTCATAACATATATAAGTTAAAAAAACATAAAATCAAGTGAAACAAAATAATTCAAATCAACTACAACATAATATTTAAGGTGAAACAAATTAAATAATAAATATAATTATATAACTATAATCAAAAAATAAATTTGGGACTGAAAAAAAATCATAACAAACGATGTCATTTGATTTAATTTTTTTTTAAAAAAATCTCACATGGCTAAGAAACATAGAAGAGCATCCCAAAAGTCTAAAGAGAAAATATGATAACAAAACAATCTCACATGGGTAAGAAACATAAAAGAGCATCCCAACTGACTTCTATAAATACTAGAGGTAATTTGACATTCAAAATCATGGAGCATTTTGATGAGCACAAAGTGAACTATTCTTTCGCTTCAATTGAGCTCGAATTTCAGGCTTCAATTGAGCTCGAATTTCAGGCTTCAATCGAGCTTCTAAATTTTTTTTGAGTTCGAGCCTTTTCGAGTTCAAGTTTCAATATTATATTTCGAGTTCGAGTTGAACTTGATAATTTTTAGCTCGTGAGTTTTTGAGTCGAGTTGAGCTTACTTTTAAAGTTTTCGAGTTCGAGTCGAGCTCAGTAGTACTCGAGTTCGACTCGGCTCGTTTAACAAATGATGTCGTTTGATTTAATTTTTTTTAAAGAAAAAAAGAGAACTGGCGGTTCACACCGATTTTATCCGTTTTCAGCCGATTCTTTACTGGTTTTGTGCTCATCCGGTTTTGGGAGTTAACCGGACCGGACAGGTCACCGGTTCACGGTTCAACCGGTCGAACCGATCGGTCCGATCCGGTTTTAATAACATCGCCTTAGAGTCATGGGTTCATACCCCTCAACTACCATGTTTTGTTTTTTTTCAAGACCAGAAAAATGGGATAATTCAAGGCTAAGTCCCTGAACTTCTCAAACTTTTGAAACTAGCCCAATAGTTTCAAAATTCACAATTTAGTCCATAAAAATCAATTAATTAATTAATAATTTTTTAGATTGAAAAATTGAGGGTGTGACACCTTTACAGTATCATAGCCGCAGCTCCGACATGTGACCTGTCGGTCTTTCAATTCTCTTATTAAGCCCTTAGGATGTATGAAATGCAATAAGCTGCTGGATGAAGTAATACAGAGTGAACAAAATCAAGTCTATATGAAATTTTTTGTTCTAGGCAGTTTTAGCCTTCGAATTCTGTGATGATGGATTATGTTACATTTGACCAGATTCGCTGAAATCACGGAGTGGACTGATCAACCGTCGGTGAAGGTGGCGATCACAGTCGATGCGCCTGCAGTTGTCAAACTGATTATGGAGAGGTTAATGGACTGATGATGAGAATGGTTGTGTTGTGTATCATTTTGGATAAAAAAATTTATCCCCAAAAATAGCAGTAAGTGTAACAATATAGAATGTCTCATTAAAACACAAACAATTTGTTATGGAACGTATGCTGCTGTTTTCTGTTATTGGTTGAATTTCATATTTTCTCTCTCGAAATGTTTTACGGATTTCATAATGTTCCATAAATATTTATTCGTATTAAGTATTAATATAATGATTATGGAATTAATCATTGATATCTTATCTATTGACCGACTAATCCAGATCGAATATTGCAGAGGCGAGGTCGATTCTCCCAACCCAGTTTGTTCCATTTGCAAACGTCAGGATTCGAACCCTTGACCTTATTTAATGAATCTAGTACATCATCCCACGAAACCAACTGGTTGTCGGTAATAATAGATGATTATTATATATACATCAATGAATCTTTTTAAAATAGGATCTTATTTTGATAATCTAATTTTAATACTCTTTCAAATTTAGTTTTATTTAAATTATTATTCTAAGTTAGAAACTTGTACATGTTTAATGATATTGTGAACAAAAGTTTAAAAGGAATTTTAAATGAAAATTCTTGCATCATTAAGAATGGTGTATTAGAAATATCAATGGATAAGTCTGCTGATGCCTATTGTCAACATGAGAAGACGTTGCAAATTATGTAGTTATAGATATTGGTCTTTGGTAGAGCTGTCGACGAATATCAGCCTCTAAACATCAAACTTAATCTATTAAGTAGTCTCAGTGGTTAAAAGAGAATATTATTCTTCTTAAAAGTCATGAGTTTGAGCAGTTGTGTTTGTAGGATGTGTGTTGTTAATAATTAAGAAAGATTTTAAACAGATACTACATCATAATCAAGACATACTATTCAAAAAAAATTATAAATCTAAAACTGATTTAAATTCGAATTTAAATTTAATACTTGATTTTTAATACTTTTTATATTTTAAAATAAATTTATATTAAATAATTTAAAATATAAATTTATATTAAATTATTTAATTCTTAGTTTAGATAATTTAAATATAAAAATTTTTACATATTATTAATCAACATCTTGGACTACAAGTCTGCAACTAGTGATGAAAACAAATTAGAGAAACTATAAAATCTAAAAGTTACAATGTTGAATGTAGTAATAAGATATATTGTGCTTCTAATGAAAAAACTTATGCTCAAATTTTAGAGATAATATTGTTCAAATAGACATAAACCACACAAAAAAAATACAGTAAATGGATTTTTAATTAAAAAAAAGACAATTAATCTAACAAGTAAAAACACTAGATAATTAATAAAAATAATAAATCTTGATTAGGGATGACAACAAATCAAGTTAGATTTTTTGTCCGTCCGAGTTCGATTCGAAAATTAAGTTCTCCACCTATATTCGACTTGAAATTCGGTATGGTATTTTAGGTTAAGACTCACATCTGAGCTGACCCAACCTAAATTTATATACATATATTCATTTTATTAGGTAAAGTAAGGACCTAACTGGAAAAAAAGAGAAATTGATATTATTGTAATTATCTCTAATTATATAAAGGATAATTATAATATTTTGTCGGTTGAGTAAAAAAAAAATATCCTAAACTCAAACTCGATCCTACCTGAATGTATACATATATATAACTGACCTGAACCTGAATTTTTAAAATAAAAAACCGATTGATCAAACTAAATCAAATCAAAATCCATTGATTTCGAGTGTAATCTTTATAATATATAAATAGCACGAAACATATATAGTTTGTTAAAATTCATATATATTTATATAAAAATATAAAATTGTCATGAAATTTTGAATTTAAAAGTATTTAGTATATAAATCCATCTAATGGTTTCAATTGGTTAAAGAAAGTGTCATTCTCCCTAAATGAATTAGGTTCAAGCAACTATGTCTACGAGCGTGTTGTTAATGACTAAAAAATTCTGAACAACTACTACTTATAATCACCCTAGACTATAAAAAAAAGTATTTAGTATATATTATCTAGTTTAATTCATCACTTACTTTACTAATATATTACTATTTTTAAATTTTTATAACTCAAAATAAATAGTTTTAGTGAAAACTTAACTAAAATTAATATATTTTAGATTGAAATAAATATTAATTAAAAACAATAGTAAAGTAAAAACTATTATTGAGATTCAATTATAAAACGTATGGAGTATTGTATAGATACAATTGCATCTAATAATGATTTATAATTTTAAAAACATGAATAATGATTTTGAACATGGGAAACTGCATTGCATGCGGCGTACCACACGAAAGATCACCGGCTCCATGCTTTGACAATTTTTGAGATTTATAATTAATTATTCATTCTTTCTTAACCGGTCAACATGCAAAACTTGATGATTTAGCTTAATCTTTGTACTTTGTTGCTACAAGTATTAGTTAATTAATTAGATCAAGCATATGCACGTTCTTGTTGAGTAAATTAATTAGTTCTGACCAAATATACATTTGATGACTCTCTCTTGAGGCTGTGATTAGTTGGATAACATGCTACGTCCCCCCTCTATTAACTATAAACGGCCGATGCCACAAATTTGGTATAATCATTAGTATCATAGATCAGATCGGGTGTCACAAATGATTTTTTTTAGATATCTAATATCTTATCTCACTTGTATACATATGGATTGAGGGGATTGACGGTAGGAGTGAGTAAAATTCGACTCGATTTAAAGAAATCGAATTTTTCGACTTGACTCAATGCTAAAAAAACTCGATTCGACTTAATTCGTAATTTCATAAACTCGACTTGAAAAAAATTCAATTTTAAATTCGAGTCAAGTTATATAATAGAACTTGAATATTTTTAGTAATTAAGTTGATTGATTTTTAAATTTGAGTTGAATCCTTCAAATTTGTATGATATAAGTATGTCACATATGAATAAATATATATGTATATTATATATGATTATAAAAAACGTTTAAATTGGAATCAAATGGTATCATAACATTATACATATTTATAATTAAATTCAAACAGAAACTCAAACTTGACTTGACTCGACTTAAAAAGTTTCAAATTGTAAAATAGGACTCGTGAACTCAAAGTTTTTTACTCGACTCGATCAAATACTCACCCCTAACTGACGGGGGCGATCATCCCCTGAAAAATTTAAAATTTTATAATCTAATTTTTTTATATTGATAATTTATTTTCATCTTTAAAATTTTAGAAATTCGTTCCCTAACTGAGGAGGGCGGTCATCTCTAGATATATATGATAGCCATATTGTACGGTTCATGGAATAATGGGGAAATTGATGTCTTAAAGAAACGGCAAGGGAGGATTTAAGGTTATGCACATTGATTAATTAACTTAAGAAGTGCCGAGTTTCTCTCCCTTCGTCTTTCACGCTCACATGCACGTTGCGAACCAATCATAATACCAATTATTTTACATTAATGCTCATTTTGATTTGAGTTTAGTCGTCTATACATTCTTTAATTGTACCACAAAGTCTCTCTATATTATAAAACACTTCATTTTACTCTTCGCGTATTACGTATATGCACGAGTGTTCAATCTATTCCAGTTAGATCGAGTGAAAGAATAAATTATACATTTCTTCATATTACTTTTTGTATGTGTAAATAAGATTTATTATTTTTTAATGAATCAAATATCATATACAATTATATAATATTATTTTTTAAAAGAATGATTTTTGAGGATAAAGTATTGATGGAAGTTTAAAGAGTCAAAATATTGATGGGGAGAAAATAATTGCAACGAGTCATAATTAAAGGACCAAATCGAATAAAATGAAAATTTGAGAGAATAATTTGAAAAAAGAGAATTTGTGTCAAAAAAGTTTAGGAACATGTGATTCAAATTTAGTTAAAATATACTTAAAACGAAAGAGGAATTGAATAAACAAGAAAAAAAGCATGGACCAAATCACAAAAACAATCAAGCGACTTAGCTAAAGCTAAAGATCAAAATCACGTAGTTTTAATATTTGATTTTTAAGTAATTTGAACTTTTAAGATTCAATTCGATTCGAACTCAAATTTTTTTAGGAGTCGTTAGTTTTATTAGCACTAATAATGGTTTACTACTATAAATATAATTTAAACACATAATTAGAACATTGTCCTTTAATCAATGACAAAAAAAAAACAAGTCACCTAAGATCACACAATGATCATACAAGGAAGAGATCAAAAACTTAATCAAAAACTAGAACAAAAGATAGATACGAACAAATCTGATTGTTCCAACAAACGAAACACAAAAGGGTATCAAGCTACTAAAAGATCATCAATAATTATAAATCAAAGTCGCGCGATGTGAAAAACTAACAACGAACTCAAGTTGCGTATCCAAATTCAATTAGAGGGCTTAAAGCATGGAAAATCGGCATGATAACAAATAAAAACAATTTTGATCAATCGTTGCGCTTTCAAATTCAATCTTGAGAAAAATGATAAACGAAAACAACAGTTAATTGACCTAAAACGTGTCAAAAGACGAAGGAAAATGTGTCATAAAGACAGAGACAAATGTACGATAAAGATAAAATTATTAAAAGCTTAAAAAAACAAAAAAGATATATGATATAAGAAATTAGAAAAAAATTAAAATATAACTTAAATAATTTAAATTTTAAAATTTATTTAAATCAAATCGAATATTACTTGTACGTTTGGGGAAAAAAAGGTTATCCCGTGAATGTGATGAAATGATGCAAGTGAGACGGTCCAAAATACATACATATAACGTTGGCTACTATGGCGTGCTGCCTCTTTGGTCTTTGCTTGTCTCGTAATTTAATTAAATTACTTTATAGTATGTTTGTTTGTGTAACATGTAATTTATATTATTTTAATTAATCTTATTATTCCAAGCAACCACGTCTACGTACCATGCATCCCTCCTTTTATTACCTTCTACTTAATTCCTTTCTTACGAACCTCAATATTACGTTCACACTCCTCAGGTTTTGGGTTTCTCTTTTCCTTCAAAAAATTCCTATCATGTCATGTTCACACTTAATTTTATTTTTGAAGTTAATCCATTTATGTAACCGTACGTACCATTAAGATTGTTTTAAAATAGAAAAAATTTACAACGTTGGTCGAGCGTGAGTGAGCATCATTAAATTAATTTATAAAATATTAAATTATAAAATATTAAACGCATAATTATAAATTATTTAAAAATTTAAATATAATTTAATTAAAATACAATATTTAAAAAATATTAGTTTTTATAATCTTATTTTAATTATAATTAGATCAAATATTAATTTGGGAAATTTATAAACCCTAATTTATTTTCATAGTTTTGAAGTTCTCGCCGCCGCCGTCGTTTTCCCTAATTTAGTATTTGTTGTTTGCCGGCGATGAAAGATGATACCGGTGGCGGCGACGGTAATGACGGCAGCGGGAGCTTCAAAACTATGAAAATAAATTAGAGTTTATAAATTTCCTAATTTAATATTTGATCTAATGATAATTAAAATAAGATTATAAATACTAATGTTTGTTAAATATTATATTTTAATTAAATTACATTTAAATTTTTAACTAATTTATAATTATTGGTTTAGTACTTTATAATTTAATATTTTATAAATTAATTTAATGGTACTTATCATTAACGATGCTTATTCATACTCTTCGAGCATGACAACATCATCCATTATTGTATCTTAGATTTAAATTTCAACGTAACAAAACCACTTCATTTTATTTTTGAAGTCAATCAATTTATGTAACCTTCTAAATAATTAAGAATATTTAAAAGTGATATTTAATGTATCTGAGGTTTAACTTAATGGGTTCAGAATGTAATATCTTTTGTAATTAATAAAAAATAAGAAGAAGAAGAAAACCCTTAAAAATCCATTCCGGCGCAGCTTGCTTATTGGTGATGGTTAATCATTAATTAATCCAGCACAACACTTTTAATACAAAGTGTATTGTTATATTATTGCCAGAAGCGAATATAAATATATGCTCCCTCAGGTCTCGGCTCCAACTCAAACCGTTTCAACTCCCATTATCACCACCACTTCATCACTCGGTTTACTTCTTACTCCTCAACACGATGACCACTCGTCTCCTCCTTTTTCTCCCACTTCTCTTTCTCTTCATCACCCCATCTGTTTCTGCAGTGTTAAAGCTCAACGTGCTGAGTTATGGTGCCAAACCCGACGGCTCAACCGACTCAACCAAAGCCTTTTTAGCTGCATGGACTCGGGCCTGTGCCTCCACTAGCCCCGCGAGCATCTACGTACCCAAAGGGAGGTTTTTGTTGCGCAGTGTGGAGTTTCAGGGCCAATGCAAGAACAGGGCTATCACGATTCGGATCGACGGGACCCTCGTGGCTCCGACCGATTATCGGGTCATCGGAAAGGCCGACAGCTGGGTTGCGTTTAAGGACGTTGATGGGGTTTCCATTCTTGGCGGAAAATTTGATGCTAAGGGGACTGGCTTGTGGGCTTGTAAGAACTCCGGCAAGAGTTGCCCCGACGGTGCAACGGTGAGTTGAATCGTTCTTTCCCATTATATTGATTCAGAGTAGTAATGAAGATTAGACTTCATGATTTTTTTCATACGCCGTGAGTTTAGTTGCTTCAGGTTTGAAAGTGGAAGAGGAAACATGTTTTTAATCAGTTAAAATATAAAATATTGGATTAATTTTGGTTTTAGTCCCTCTATTATTCTAGATTTTGTATTTAATTTCATGTATGCATTTTAATGAAATACTAACAGTGTTGGTTATTTGAACTAATTGCATTATAAAACTAGTAAGTGGATCAAATTACACCAAATTGAACTAGAGATAATTCCAAATTTGAGCATAGTAGTGTCCAAAACCATAATTTGACCAATATATATTGGCGTTACATTTTGACCAGCTTTAGTTAGATTAATTAATAAACTAACGTTCAAGCTTTCTTAGTCACCCACTTCGATTTTACGTTTACGGTCCCTTCCCTTTTTTATATTTTGTTTTTGGTTACATTCTATATTACTTGCGACGCAGACACTAAGCTTTAGCAAATCGAAGAACATCATTGTCGTCGGGTTAAAGTCGTTAAACAGCCAGATGTTTCACATCGTAATCAACGGCTGCCAGAACGTGAAACTGCAAGGAGTGTCTGTCATTGCCTCCGGTAACAGCCCCAACACCGATGGTATTCATGTACAACTATCGAGCAGCGTCACCATCCTCAACTCCAGGATTCAAACAGGCGATGACTGCATCTCAATTGGCCCTGGTGCAACTAATCTCTGGATGGAGAAAATCACATGTGGCCCCGGCCACGGTATCAGGTAAAAAACAACCACAATCAACACCAACACAAACAAATCGTTGCGAATTCGTAAACATCATTCTGATATAACACCGTGATTATACAGCATTGGGAGCTTGGGGAAGGACCAGAATGAGGCTGGTGTTCAGAATGTAACAGTTAAAACAGCCACATTCATAGGTACCCAGAATGGAGTGAGGATCAAGTCTTGGGCAAGACCAAGCAATGGATTTGCAAGGAACATTGTTTTCCAACATATTACTATGAAGAACGTCGAAAATCCCATCGTGATCGACCAGAACTACTGCCCCGGCAACAAAAACTGTCCCGATCAGGTTCATCGTTGACCTTATTCTTACTTTGTCGAGAAACAAATGAATAACACATTGACATATTTTGCATATTTGTACAGGTTTCGGGAGTTAAAGTTAGCGATGTGACATACCAAGACATACATGGAACGTCAGCGACAGAGGTTGCTGTAAACTTTGATTGCAGTTCTAAGCATCCGTGCAGTGGGATACGAATGGAAGGGGTGACTCTTACGTACAAGAATGCAGTAGCTGCAGCTTCATGTAAGCACGCCGGTGGAACTTCTCTCGGGGTTGTTCAGCCTACAAGTTGTTTGTAGAAATGCCCAGCCCAGAAGAAACAATGGTCTTATTATTATTATTATATAATACTGTGTTAAGTAGTAGTTGCCTTGCCTGAGTCTGTGGCGCTGTTAGCTCCATTGAGCTACATTGGAGCCTGGCCTTGCAATGAGCATGGTGTAGTAGTGTAGGAGATTCAACCCAGATGGGTTTGATTTCTTAACAATTGCCTTCATGGACACCTTGAGGATCTATGAATGAATGAATTGATTGATAATATTTCTATCTCTAAGATACAATGAAAGTAATCGACACCGATGAGTTGATTATTATTTCCAATATAAATTTCAAAGCAAAAAAGCCATACGAGTGTCAATATACCAAACCTAGAGCCTCTGCCGTACTTCTACGGATTTCTTCACTACAGTTACAAATCGCTAACACCATAGTCATCAATAGTTCCCTCTGCTCCACCTTCAAAATTTTCTCCAATGCTCGTGCAACCATCTCCATCTCAGGCTGTGGGCGATAGAAACAAAATTAACAAACACAAAAAAAGTAGCACAAACAAAATGAAAATAACAAACTACATACAGAGGACTCTCCGGGAGGAAAAATGCTGTGCATGAGACATATGAGACATATCTTGGACAGTTCCGACACTGCTTCTGTACGTTTGCCTTGCATTTCAAAAGCCTGCAACCAAATGGCACTATGAAGATCAAGATACCGACCGAAATCCCTTCTTTGAAGTTATATAAACATGAGAAAGGGGTAGGAACCCTGTACCAAGCTGTAATATTATCAGTTGATACAACTTTAAGACAAATACAGTGTTACTGCAACTTAAATATCATATAAATTTTCCAAGGCCTGGTGTCCATATGTCAGATGATAAATTATACAAAAGTCTTCTGGAAAACAGGACGCAAACTTCTGCTAACAGATAAATTTCAACAATAAAGTTGCCAGTGATTGTTTCTTCCCTGTTTATGAGGTTATCTAGGTAGGTAAGATCCTATTGGTTTCCCAAGGTCCACTCTGCATCTACACTATGATGCTCGGAAAATTCCGATGGAAGTAGGATAGAAAATCATCAACATGTGCAAAAGCTAGCACGTGTAAGAACAAGAATATGAAAAATTACCCAAGCCTGCAAAAAACAATAACGTGTTCTTGCAGCAACACCAGCAGATGTCATTCTAGAAGCACGGATATTGTCAAGTCCAATATTTTCAACTAGCCCAGCAAAGAATTGTCGAGCATCCTCACCATCAATCTGAACGTCAGTAGACTGACTTGATGCCCTGCATAATCTCTAAGCATGTTATTGGTTAACCGAAACAGTAGGAGCACAAGAATATCCAGTGAAGCAAGTTAGAAGACAAAGTATCAAACATCGAAACAACATGCACCATCACAAAAAGTGTAGAACTTTCGCAAATAATGATAATAGAAAACTCTATACCTGCAGCAAACGTTTAGAACCAACTCAACTGCTGCACGATACAGTGAATCCCCTGTGTTTGTTGTGTCAATGGAGACACGCACACCAGATGTCCTGCATATTTGACGCAACTGCTCACACATAGAGACCAACAAGAAAGGACAACACATTGTTCAAGAATCAGCTAATCCAGCAAAGGAAGTGAAATTGTAGTAATAGAACATTAAATCCATTAGAACCAATTCGGGAATTTTATCGAAGCTCAAGAGAACTCTAATATTTCCCATTCTAATTAACAAGAAATAGTAACAACATACAGGGTAAAACAAAGTAAGAGCCTATTATGCTGCATAAACAAAATCACTAAACATATGTTTGCATTCGTTCCAACGTCCTATGAATCCGTTAACTATTGTACATAAAACAAAACAACTACAAACAGAATCCAAAATAGAACATTTTAGAACTATAACACGATGAGTCAAGAAGGCACTGACTTGAATTATATCCTCCTCAGTAAAGTCCTTTCCACTCAATCTATTGTCGATGATGGCTGGACATAAAGTTCATCAGTTGAAATCAAAGATGTACATGAGTATCTAGTGTCTAACAAGAAGATAATATTTTATATAAAGGAGCAGTGTTTACATGCAATCCAAGATGAACAAAGTTTAGTATTACTATTGAATGAAAATAAAATTAGTTCATAGCATTAGCAACAAAGAATGGACCTTTGACCAATCTGTTGGCCCGAGTCTGGTAATACTCAGAATCAAATACCGAAGCAGTTTTAGGCGCAGAAACCGGTTGAGGCCACCATTTGGGCAATTTCTCACTAACATGGAGGCGAGAATAATTTGTCCTATTGGCAAGAGTTGAAGTTGTGGATAAGGATAAAGGATCGTCAAAGGCATTGAAATTAGTAGGAGGAGGAAGATGACCCTGGTTTCTGTTTGTCCCAACAATCACTTCTCTGCCTCCAAGACTCCGGTCCCGCCGAACAATAACCTTGGGTTTCGGTAAAAACTGAGCCCGGATGGCCACACCGAGCTTGATGCAAAGCCTGAAAGCGAAAGCAATGAGGAAACCACAAACGAGGACAACAGCGAAGAATTTAAGGGTCGACTGGCGACAGGAGAGTCGAAAAGTGCGAGTTTGGGTATCGATATGAACCGAATGTATGAGGTCTTGGAAAGCATCGTTGGAGAAAGAGACGAAGCGATCAAGGTGAGATAAGGGTGAGAGAGGGTCGAAATGGATGAGCAATTTGAGGTTGGGGTTATCGGCGGATGAATCGAAATCAATGGCTCGTTTAAGGCTGAGGCCCTGGCTGTTTTCGTCGTGTTTGTGGCTCCAACGAGAACGGGAAGAGCGAGAACGGCGGGAGCGGCGGGGAGTTGAGAAGGAGAGCTGCGGCGGACGATATGGTTTGGGTTTGGTGTAACCAAATACACAGAGAGGAGGAGACGTACATGGAATGCGCAAGAGGAAGAACATGTTATGGCTCTTCTTCATCCGTTATGTAAACTAATATATTAAAGAAGAAAGTAAACAGTTTGGTTTGGCTCCATTCAATTTATGGCCGAATGTTGTTAACCGCGAGGAAGAAGAAAGCTACATCAGGATTTGAGACTTCACTTTTAAATACAAAAATTCAATTTCCCCCATTTCTGTTGTTTTTGTTCCGTGCTTGCTTTCTACTTCCCACTTTTCAATTGGACTTCCTATACTTCTTTCCTTATTTCACCTTTTCATGGTGGGACTACTAAGTACGTGTGTTCCTAATTTTCTCTCCTTATCTTAATTTTAGTTTGTGTTGGTATCAATACATGTCTTTGACATATATAACGTGAATATATATATATTTAAACGTAAGTAAAATTTGATTTAATTTAAAAATTTATTTTTCTTATTTATCTCGAACAAATTTGATTCGTATATTTATAGACTGACTCGTAATCTTTTTAAATTCGAGTCAAGTTATAAAATAGAATTCGAATAACTTAAAATTTTTAGTAAAAATTGGATTGATATCATGGGGTTATTTCATCAATTAAACGCATGTAAAAATATCACATCAATAATATGTGTTGGTTACTAGTCAATTAACGATTTTCATCTAATAAAGACTGTTTTGACAAAAAAAAATTGAAACACTTTTAAAATGTTAAAAAAATGAGAATATATGAGCAAAATGACATTGGGGATAATTTTGTCATTATAAATGTATAAGTATGACAACTTGAGAACTTTTTATCCTATTAAATTGAAATGCCAAAACTTGAATGAAATAATTAAAATCTTAGTAATTTAAAATTATTAAAATAGATTAAAAAAATACTTGATAACATTCTTTTATACAAAGAAATTATGTTATTGAAGTGATTCTTAAAAAATTCTCTTTAAAATTAACATAAAATTCGGTAAAGAGTTAAAAAGAAAATGATTTACATTATGAGGATACTAAAATTTCCGAGAGTATAATATTTGATCTAATAACAATTTATAATAAACATACTCATAATCTGAATAACGAATATGAAGAAAAAAAAATCTTAAACGTTTATATAAAAAATTAAAAAGAAATATAACTTAGAGTTTACAATTATTGAAAATATCCTAAAACTCTAAAAAGATATTGTGATAGAAATGATACAATCCACGAAGTGGTGATAAAACTCTTTTTGTGAGTAAAATAATTTTGATGAAAATTTATAAGACGTATCTGACTCATAAGCTACGTTTATTGAAGGATACATGTATAGACAGGAGAGAGTATTTGATTGAATCAAGTCGAGTTAAAATTTATCAAGTCGAGTCAAATTATTGAGTTTTTGTTTAATATAAATATTTATAATGTTGTGGTATTATTTGATTACAATTTAAACGATTTTCTATAACCATATGTGATATACACATGTTTTCATATGTGATATACATATGTCATTTAGAGTTAAGAGACTCGACTCAAACTTGGAAATTATATTTTATAACTCGATTCCAAATTGAAATTTTTTCGAGCCGAGTCGAGTTTATAAAACTACGAGTTAACTCTAATCGAATCAAGAATTTTAACATCGAATAAATGTTTAATTTTTTCAAATCGAATCGAGATATAGTTGCTCTGTCCGGAAACGGGTAAACAACAACAAAGATGAATTAAGAGTACCGGACCGGAGTTTATACAGCGGTAACTCCAAGGTAACTAACTAACTGATGACTGATTGTACCAACGGTAAACTCCCAAGTATTAGGCGGCCCAACTCACTGAGTCACTCTTCACTCTTTGGGGTAGTTGAGAAATTAAATAAAAATGTAATCATAACAGCACAACGAAGAGATTCCAGGAAGAAACAAACGAATCAAAGCTTTGTCACTCTGCCGCCGGTTATCAATTTCTTAATCACAATAAAGAAGTACAACAAAACAAATTCCCCACCAACTCCTTTCGTTATTTATAGTATGTTTTAGATTCCTTTCTCTTCATCAACCTTTCTGAATCCTTCCTCTTTACCCATGGCGTCCCTTGGTTGCGGCTCCAATCTCTCCTTTCTAGTCAACAATCCATGCCGGAACAGCTCATCACCCTCTCTTCATCTCTCCTCGAACTCACTTTCTGGGTTCACCCGGAAATTAGTGACTGCTTCTTCTTCTTGTGCAAAAACATCGAGAGTTGGAATCACACGCGCCACCGCTCAAGTGGCGGACGCTGTGCTGGGAGATAAAGAGGAGACAAGTCGGGTGTT